CCTGTTTGTGCAGAGGCTTGGCGAAAAGGGCTTGCTCTGACAGGCAGTTCGGGGCATGCTTCATCGCTATCTTCTCCCTCCACAGTTTCTATGCCTGTCCTCTGGTTATCTTGGTCATCTCTTTCGGTAGCCGTTACTCGTAGCCCTAGCGCAAGGTCGTCGTTGTCTTCTCCTTGGCATGTCGCCGGCGCAAGCATGGTGTTGTTGGCCTTCACTGGAGCTGGAAGATCGCCTAGACTAAGCTCAAGCTCCATGTCGAGGAAAGGGAGGGGTCTTGGAGTGATGAGGCAAAGAGGAAACAAATAGCAAGTACCACATATATAGTAGTGGTCGGCCAATCAAGTAAGTAATCATCAGTTTTGACAAAATAAACTCAAACATGGTTAAGTATCAGAGAACACGTTTGGATTGGATTGTTATCTAATGCTTGTCCCATCAACCTCCAATATTATATCATGTCTCCTGCTATTCCAATAATTTTAAAAATATTTTTTTATCATGCTAGGCTAAGTGTGCAATCTATTTGACTTTGGATACAAGTAACTGGATATTCATATTTCAACCGGGGTCCAGAAAATCATCACTTTGACATTCAAAAATAGGAGTTTCTCAGAGGAGCATGATTATGAGCTCTTATGACATTTGCATTTCTCCCACACATTAGGAAGCTTTAACACGTTTTCTTTTCTTAAGGAAATAACCATTCTTGTCCTTCCAAGAAAAGGCATGGTTGAAAACCAAATAATTTACGCAACTAGTGCAATAGAAAGCTAAAACGATTTGTCTTTTCTTAACAAAATTACCAGTTTTGCCCTTCCAAGAAAAGGCATGGTTGAAAGCCAAATAATTTATTCAACTAATGGAGGATTATCACTAATTTGATCAATAATTGTGCTTTGCATAAATAATACAGAATATGCTTTGTCAAAAGATTGCTTGGAAAGTTATCCCTCCTTAAGAAATGATAAGCTTATCGGTAAGACAATTCTTACTGTAACAAAATCCATACAGCAAGGCAGATTGGTCACTGAATTTATCACACTGACTGCTACGGCTGCCTATGGAAATAGGAGTAGTTGGTACCGTGATGTCCATGTGTCAAAATCTGAGCTGCGATCATCTTCAAGCTGAGGTGGTCAAGATACTTCACAAATAAGTAGCTCATGATGTGGCAATCTGGAGTCTAATGTGTGGACAGCATGTAACAAACCACTTTTTCAGAAAGTTGTAAGAACCACTACACTAGCAAGTCCAATTGTGTAGCAGATGTTCTAGAGTGGCTTGGGTGAGAGACTGGGATTTTTTTTGTGTGTGTGTGGCAGATTACACCTTGCAAGGCGATCATCGGATGAATCATTTACCAAGAACTCTGCATCCTAACTATGCAGAGGCTGGGTGTGTGCTTCTTGTGTTTGCATCCTCTTGATGCTCTATTTTGAGCTAACAGAATCCATTGTTGGAAAAAAAAATCCTTTTTTCCCTCTGAACTTGACAGGTACATAATCTGCAAAGGGAGCTGCAGAGGCACACGTGCAAGATTAGAATTGCATCCCTTTCAATCTCACTAGTAAGCATGCACGTGCAACGCACGTCTCTCAAATATAACACATGTTTTTAAAAATCTATTTACTCCTGAAGTTGATTTTTTATCGAATTGATTTTTATTTAGTTCCCCCACCCAAATAGGGTATCATGGGCCTAACGGTTTAAGCATGAGAGTGCAATGTACGATTCACACACACAACAATTTTTTAAATCGACAAACCATGAAAATATGTGATTGAATATTTTTTTTGGGGATTTTATGACATTCCAAAAATAATTTTTCATGCGCGGAGAACGTGCTCCTGGGAGCCCAAATGGATATCCTATATTTTCTATAGCTTCATACTCATCAGACATATACTGTATTATTCAATAAAGAATATCCAAAATCTTAATAATTTGAATTAAAATTTAACTTCCAATGGGTTCTTTATATTATTCACAACCTAAAGCACTCCTTGACTGACTTGATAAAAAAATGACACCCGTCGGACACACACACGCACACGCCGTCGCCACACACACCACTGACACACTCTCTCATCTTGCTCCCGGACAAGCAGCGCCTCCGCCCTCCCCACTGCATCCCGCCGCCGGCACAGGGACCCTCCCTTGCTGCGCGCTGCTTCGGCAGGGACTGCCCCTCTGCCTCCCCACTCCCCATGGCTGCTGAGACGGCCGCCCTTCTCTTGCCTCTCCACCTCCGTCCGCGGAGGCGCAGACTTCCTCTCCACCAGATCCTCGGTCGTGGACTCGACATGAGAGCTGGAGGGCTCCCCTACGCCTACCTCCTCCCGCGGGACAAGACGCAGAATCGGAGCAAGCGCCGAGGAGCGCCGGCTAGGACGCCGTGCTCCGATGGGTTGGGCGTGTTGCGAGCCTCACCGTGGCCAAGTACCACATGCTCCAGAGTGGATGGTCGATGCCCTCCCCACCTGGCCACCTCACGCGTGACTGGTATTTCGTCATCCTGCCTCTGCTCGATTCAAGACTCTGTGATCATTGCCAGGGTTTTGTGTGCAAGTGCAACCATTTCCATCTGAAGTGTCTAATCAAAACGGCTACAAGACTTTGAATTTGGCCCCGTGCATAAGTATTATTATATTGAGCGTGGGCCTGAATCTTCCAGTTTTGACTCCAGTCGGACAAGACTCTGTGATCATGATGATCAAGCTGCCCATATGCACATGAACTCTCATTTCTTATCCATGGGCGTGCCCGTCTCCAGTGACAAGGATCAGCTATTATAGAAACAAAGAACGGTTCTTTGCCGTAGTTGCAACAGAAAAGTTGAGGACTTTCTCTTGCAGACCTTAACATACACCTAAACATTGCTTTCACTAAAATTTCAGCCATAATCTACTTTGACAACTAGACCAGTAATATCTAATATGTGTAAAATATTGTTTGAAAATATATTTGGACGGATAAAGTACAGGGAAGGCTGTTCGGCATGGCCAAAGGTACATATATACAAAGGGCAAACTGCCTCTTGACAACCTGTAGATTTGAAACTAATAATGTACAGGAAAAGTGAATGAGCTGAGGTCACCCTTTTGTTCTCACCAAATATTTAATTACAAAACTGATTAGATTTCTTTGCAGATAGACACGATACGACTGTTTGATTTTGGGGAACACTTTGACTCAGTTGAAAGGGCGGACGAGTTTTATGCAAAATAATGTCTTTGTGGAACATAAGCTTTAATAAATCCTTGTTACGGTTAACTAATTTAAAATATTCCCTGGCAACAGAAGTCAACTAATATATCATCTGTAACTCGCTAACCAATAGCTTGCTTTTTAAGGAATCGTGGACTGAAGCAACAACACTAAACCCTGGAATAGAACTTACTTTTCAAAATCCGGGCACGTCAATGGATCTTTAGGTTTTAAATTTTTGTTGAGAAGTTCCTGATGATATTTTGCTGCTGTTAAGTAAATCTCTGATAGCAAAGTGTATAAAACTGCATTTGGGGTTTGAAAACAGCTACGGATCAGAATATAAATGATTTGATGGCACATCGTTGTTGACAGCTACAGCAAAAGCATGAAACATTATTCATAAATCTTACGGATCAGAATATTACAGCAATTTATCGGTAAGAAAAGGGTCATTCAACGAATCATTAGGACAAAGTTGGTGACATCTACCCTGTGATATTTTATTATGTATTGGAGCGAAGAACAGCTACAGCAAAAGCATGAAACATTATTCATAAATCAAGAGGTAGAGTGAACGAATGAAGACAATAAATCTCCATAAGTTTTCTTTACCGGAAAGACACTACTCTAATGCATATATTTATATTATTTTTCAAACATAAATGTACAAGGAAAACAAAGAAGTAGAATAAAACCTAAAACAGAGGGCGGGCTAGTCCCAAAGAGGTAAACAACAGAAAAACAAGAAGAAAGCTCTACTGACGACTAGCCCGGGATACTTGAAAAATGAAACAAGGCCCTTAATGGAAATTCTGTACCTAGCCTTGAAAAGTGTCATATCTATTTCCCTTCAGAAACCCCGGACAATGTCTCGTAAAATAAGCAGGCTTCTCTAGCTAGTTCAGGCTCTCAAGTCACCCAAGCATCATCATCAGCACCAACAATCAGCATCACATGCGTATATTGGTGAGCTGAAGTACACTACCTTTTACTCTGCTGCACACCGCAATAAATTCCTTTTGAAAGAGGCCGAGCTGCCTGCTCATTTTCCAAACTGATCCTGAATTACTCCCAAAATCCACAATGTATACGCCCCATCTGAAAGTGCAGCCTTCTGCCAGCCATACGAGCTATGAAAGGGCATTTAGTTTAACTTTGAGGCGGTTGGGAATAATCATCAGAGGAGTCCAATTCTGGCCCCTACAAACTGCTATAGCAAACTAGCCAATGCTTTTTTTACTTCTGAAACACGAAACGTGTCCTCTTACAACCCAAGAACGAGAGAGAACGGAGAAGCCAAAGAAGAAAGACATCACAAGCACAAACCGCAGAGCTAAGAACGAAAACTACAGAAGGAAGGGAAATATCACAAACAGGCAAATGCGGTGCTCATCAATGGAAGGTGAACATATTCCAGAGTTAAGATGAACCAAAACACTACGGTGAGTCGGTGATTCTCTGTCGTTTCATAGATTACAACGAGTTTACTAACTGGGAACTGATAGTTATCAGTACAAATATGAGAAATTGTTGATGGTATGAAACTGCAAGGGTAGAAATCAGTAATCAGCCACGGACAGCCATATAGACGACGAGGCAGGCACAAAGTCTTGTTGTCCTCATTTTCCAAGTAATGCAGCCTTTTATCTCCCGTGCCTCCAGTCCCTTGAAGAACAAAAAAATGATCAGTAAAGCAAATTGGGACTATTGGGAATTTCAAACAAAAGGGTAGTAAAGCTGGACATGAACTGAGTGTTAGGCAAATACCTTAGGTGGGATATTGTATTGATCTACTCCGCTTCCTTTAACTTTGGACACATGGATATCTCGACGGTCTTTATTTTTGCAAGTGCCTTTGCTCCACCAATTGAAACTAGGTTTGGACAATCCTTGATCACCAATTTGTCAAGTGATGCAGGAGGTGATATGCTCTCGAGTTGAAAACAATGTACAAAAGTAAGTGATTTTAATCTTGGTAGGTTATGTGGTTGAAACCAACTTGGGAGCCAGATATTGTCATAGTTTTTGAGGAACAAAGACTTGAGACTGATAGGAGGCTGTAGAACTTCAAGCACTTCGATGTCATTGTTGTCGATATCAAACTGGATATCAGACTCAGGGAAACCTGTGGGACGATCCTCCCGCATATTCAGTTTCAACTCATCAAGATATTTCTTATTCTTCAGGTTTAGTTCTGCGGCATGATCCTTACTTAGCAAGTGAACATCAATAAGCTCCAAGTGCCCGCGGAATTGGTTCAGATTCTTCATTAACGTAATTTCTCTCCACTTGTTATTTGGACCAAGATACATGCGACGCCCATCATAATATGTTAATCCAACTGATTCAAACTTCTGCAAACTAATCAGTTTACCAAAGTCATCGGGCAAGCTTTCTAGCCTGCAATTCTTGGCATATAAAATTTGAAGATGATAAAGCCAACAAAAAGTTGAAGGAATTTTCTTCAGAGGGCGAGCTTTGTTGATTTCAAGGTACCGAAGATGCTTCCAATTGCCAATATTATCTGGTAACTCATTTGTGGAGTCACAAGAAATCACGCGCATACGCAGAAGTTTAGTACACCATTCGCCCATAACAAAGCATGTTTTTCTCTTTAAATCCTTCTTGCAAATTAGGGTACGCAACTTTGTGTACTTGCATAGCTTTAACAAGCTGGAATCATCAAACTCACTGCTAGGGAGTATGTAGAGATGACGAACATTCTGGGGAACTTTATCCAAGTCACTTCTATTTCTTAAAATGCAGCAGTCCTGCTCTGAAACCATTTGTGCCATGTCGTGTAGCAAGTCATGGATTACATATCTACTACTAATTATTTGAAAGAAGGATCGTGTTACAAGGTCTTCAAAATACTGACAACCAATATCTTGAATTGGAACACCACACTGAGGATCCACAAAACCTTCTGCCGCCCAAATTTCAGCTAAGCGTGCCTTATGAAATCTGTAATCTTTAGGGTACACAGCACAAAATGCAAAGCATTGCTTCAGGTGGAATGGTAAATACATGTAGCTCAACCGAAGTGCAGGCAAAATGTCAGTCTCCTCTTGTTTCAACTCCCACAGTTCACTCTCGAGTATAGAATTCCAATGCGATGCTTGAAGGTCCATGCTTAACATGCGTCCTAGAGTTTTGGCTGCCAGAGGTGAACCCTTTAGTTTAGCAAGTATGCTTCTACCAATGCTCTCTAACTCAGGATCATTATTAGAATCCTCAGATCCAAACGCACACAATTTGAAGAAATTCCAAAAGACGTTGTCCTTCAGACCTTCAACTATAATGGGTTCCATTGTCCGCACCCCCTCAGTAACATTTGGACATCTAGTCGTGACCAACATCACACTTCCATCTTGGGCACTTCTAAAAGGTGCACAAAACCTCTTCCAGCACTGCCCATTTTCCTTTAAGGCATCATCCCACATGTCATCGAGGACTATCAATAACCTTTTCTTGTTCACATGGTTAGAGAGATCACGCTGAAGAGAATCCAAATTATCAGTTGTTGCCTCATTTCTAGTACATGATTGTATCACCTCTTTAGTTAACCTCTTCACATCAAAGTCATCTGAGACACAAATCCAAATTATCATCTCAAAGTGAGATTTCACTCGTCGATGGTTACAAATATGTTGGGCCAAAGTTGTCTTTCCAACACCACCAATTCCAACAATTGGCAAAACATGGACACCCAATATTCTCGATTCATTACCAACATGATTGCTTGCTGATGTGCTTGCCGAACTAGTTGCTCTCTTGCGTTTTGAAATTGTAGGTACATTGAGAAATCCCAATAAGCGCTTTAGTTCCTTGTCACGACCAAATATTTTTGTTTCATTTGGAAAAGATGTGGTCTCCGGCCTGACTATTTTATCAAAGCATCGTGTAACTCCACGGAGCCCCATATTCTCCAGTTGACTTGAAAGATGGTTCAACCTCAATTGGACATCATTCAGTTTGTTGAAGCTGCCTTGTACGGCGGTATGAAAGAAGTCAATGAAAGAAGATTGGCTTGCATTGCCCTCCACTTGTACCTTCTTCTCGTACCATCCAAACTCATCAAGAAGGTCCTCGGCCTCAGCTACTGCATCCTTGAGATTAGGAAGGAGCTTGGCCACAACATGTTCATGGCTTCTCCACTCTGCTTTATTAACGAGGTCGTACATTGCAGGAAGGGTGTCCCTGAGGAGTTGTAGGCCACTCTCCAACTGCAACACATGGTCCTGGAGAATTTGCTCCTGTGAGCCACTCCATCGGGAGTAAAGAGAGGGAACGGCAGATTTGGCCCATTGAAACAAAGTGACACATTCGTTGACGGCACCAACGACCCCAACAGCGGATAAGCTCATGCTGACTGGAATAGACATCTATATCCGTCCTGCGAGCAAGCAGCGATGCAATTAGCATTAAGGAAGTAATTTTTCTAGTCAGATTATATAACAAGATAACTATCTGTATCATAGTTTTAAATGCTATAGTGTTTGAGCATGGTGCCACTAAATGGTACTCATGTACAATAGTCTGCTATTAGCTGGCTATAGCCCGCTATAGTCTCGCTATAGCTGATTTGGAGGCTGCCGCTATTTGGCATATCCCGCTATTTAAAACGCTGATTGGTATACAACAAGCCAACTATTGTAGTGATTATTTTCTCAAACATGTTTCCATAAAGAACTCCCATGAAGTTAGTTTCAACGGTAAGTCATAGAAATGTCATGAAATGAGAATTAGTTGATAAATTTTAAATACTTCTTTGCAACTGTTAAGTTTTAACACCCTGACCAGAAATCACTTGAGTAAAATATACACTAGGATGTTCTAGTGAGATTTATTCACACATGAAACTCATTTTAATTATGATTTATGCAAGTGATGTCTTCTCTTCGATTTCAGAGCTAAAATAGAGTGCCAGGTACTATTTTTTTTGAAAGATCCAGCATCACTGGCATTCATTGATAATAGCAGGAAGCAACGGAAAACAGGTGGTGAAGGTTCTAGGACCAGAGGATCCGAAGATCAAAGAAAAAAAGAAAACAACAGCCCTAGAAGCTGCAGCACAACACTCCAACACAATCCATACTAGGCAGCGCAACTCCGACTCCAAACGGTGAAACTACTAAGGAGACTAGGCTGGGGTGGCGTCGCGGAGGATCACCGAACGAACAACCTGGTACGCATCATCATATACCATCGGCCCCCCACCGCGGCTTCGACTTCACAGCAACGAACAGTCGAGGCACTCCCACGGACACGCCGGAGAAGAAGAGACGACTACCACAACCAAAGGCCACGTCTCCGACATTGCTCACCGTCGTCATCATTGCCACAGAAGCACCGTGCGCAAAAGTCTGGACGCCTCAACTGCCGCCAACCACCGGCCCCGCTTGCCGATGCCGAGCTCCGAGACGAAGCCCCCAAGAGGGAAAACGACGCCGAGGCGCCGCCATCGTCCGATCAAACGATCAAGGGTTTCCCCTGGAGAGGCCGAGATGGTCGGATCCGTGCAAAAGGGTGCAACAGCAAATCAGCGATGCCTCCAAGAAGGTCACAACGGCCACAGCCGCCGCCATCGTTCGTCATGGCACAGGGCTGAGACAGGGTCTTCACCCAAGCTCTCACACCACCTCGGCCGCACATCCACCCGCATCGGCACCGACAAGCCCACCAAGCAATCACCACCGCACCAACCCACCGACAAAGGGGTCGCCGCCGTAGCCAACCGCACCTCGCAGCAGCTACCGACGACCAAAACTCAAGAGCTAGCGGGTAGAGCCAAGGACGGCCATCGAGAGCAAAGCCGCCGGACGCAACAGACCGCCGCACCCTACCGAGCACCATGTCGGCAAGGAAAAGAGGTGCACTGCCCGAGACTGTCAGCCACCATGACTGCCGGCCGCAGCCAAGCAACAGACGCGCGCCACGCGCACCATGCGTGCCACTGCGGCCGCCAGAGACCAGATCTACCACACCTGCACCTTGAAGCAGCTCCCCTGTGCCGCCATAGGCCCTGAGCCGCGTCGACTACGCCGCCCACGCCCTCCGCGCCCACGCCCCCCGAGCACCAGACTAGATCCACAGGAGCACCACTACGCCAGATCTGGGCGGCACCCGCAGCCACCGCGCCCATCGCGGCCGCGCCAAGCCTGTGCGCGCCCGCGCCTCACTTCCCCCTGCAGCCACCGGGACCCTCTGCCCACGCAGCCTCGCCCGGGCCCCCTCGCGTCAGATCCGCGCCACTCCACGCGCGCGACGCCACCCCGGCGCGCCGCCCAGCCACCTGTGGAGCCTCGCCGCGCGTGCCTACCATCAGCCCATCCTCGCTGCGCCTTCCCGAACGCCATGGCGCCGAGCTCCTTCGAAGCGGCCGGCCCACGCCGCGCTGCTCCAAGCGAGAGGAGGAGAGAGCTCGCCGCTGCTGAGCCGCACGAGCTTTGCCCGGCGACACACACCGGCGGCGGCGAGAGGGGAGGGGGCGACGGGTTGCGGCGGTGGCGGCGGTGGCTAGGGTTCGCCCCTGGCCGCCCGCGGGAGCGACCGAGGAGCGAGTCTTTCGTTACGCGAACCACGTCTTTTGCGCCAAGCTTTTGAAACATGCCGCTGGGTACTATTTTGAACAAAACATGGAACGCAGAAGGAGAAATGAAGCCGTAGAAGAAAGCAAGATTCAAGGCTCACCTGGACCCGTGCTGCTTGCCGTCAACGAGCAACTCACTGTCAGATGCGCAGCAGCAGGAGGAGAAAGAGGAGAGAAATCTTGGATGGGTGTGAGGAAGAGTGAGCCTAACAGTAACAATGTCTTGAAAAAGCCAATTCTAGGCGGAGAAACCAACCATGGTAACAGCTTTGTCCGCCTGCGACAACCATGAGGTGAGATGCCATGCATATACTAGATATCATCGTATCTTAAGTTTGTCATGCTAGCTGCTCCTTGTTGCATATCCTATTCATTTTTTCCAAGCTGGACACGGTCACCAAGACAAATGAATTGAATACAGAGCGAGCCGAATACCAACAAACTGTTTTCTTTAGTTACTGAAACCTCACCAGTGCTACAAGAGTGGTTCATGTATAGAACACAGGTAAGAGTGGCAAAAGAATCAGAGGATGCCACTCCAGTAGCAACAGAAATGAGCAAAAATGCCACGTCAATTCCTTTCGATGATCGAGGCCAAGGGGATCGAATGCTTAGCAAGGTATAACGAACGCCACCGATTTGGCTGCACCCAAGGACACATATGACCAATCCACGCGGCGAGATGCACATGCTGCAAAAGCCTAGACACCAGTATTTGTTTGGCTACAAGAATTTTTCACACGTCCAGGACACACCTCAGAGCCATTGTATTATTTGAGGTCATCACATACAGATATTCATTCATTCAACTAAATCTACAACGTAGTCCGCACTCGACACTTCCAACATTGTCTTGCTATTAAGCGCCAAGATAACTAACTGATAACACCGCTACTCAGTACCCTAGTGCAGTTTATAAGACAAGGAAAAAATAAGACAAGAAATACACCATGCATTGCGGTTTCTCGTGCATTGCAAAAGTGAAAAAGACATGGATATATGCATCCCTCGCTTTCCTCATTTCTTCATGCCCAACAAAGCTTCCATCTCCCATCGTATCGCGCGAATCTGAAAATGGCAGAAGAAAGATGAAACCATCATGATTGAGCTCCATCTCTGCAGTGCATAAAATCCAGATTTCCTCTTTTTTCCCCAGCTATTTCTCGGTGGTGCTGAAAATGCAAAGACGTGGGACTGATAAAACTTGTAGATCATCGATCAAGGACATAGCAGCAAGCTCAGCATTTTGATCCCCGCTCCTTGCTGCGATGGGGCGTGTCGCGCTACTGGCACCACTGGCAGGGCGTGTTCACCAGTGGGATCTTAGGCAAGTTTCCAATGCCATCAGAACTACTAGCTGTTACAAGTACAGTAGTTGTTGTTTTTCTCGAAAAGACAAGTACAGTAGTTGTATCTCCTGAAGATTGCGCTGACAGGCTGTCGATCGTGTGGGTCTATCCGTACAGGGCTGATGGCTGCTTCGTTCTGCTACCTGCAGTTCTTCACACATCCTGCTAGCCAACATGGTAGTTGGTCCTGAATTGCTAGTGCATACATATATGATACAATGATACATAATGTAATTCAGGATCAACGGTGTCAGGTGTTACTAGCAATTCAGGTGATACATAATGTAATTCAGGAGTACATAATACCATTGCTCTTTGTTCTGCCAGTGTCAGGCGTTACAAATGAAGTCCTTTTAGCAAATTCTGTTCGGAAATAAGTGGAGTGGTTTTAGTTCAGATTAAAACCACGTCACTTATTTCCGAACAGAGGCAGTAGTATAACTGAAGTGAAATGTTACCTGTTCTGTTTCAGGGCTGTGGCCTCATGCGTTCCATCATCACAATCTCAAACCCAGAAACTGAGAGTACCTCGGATCGCCATCAGACAGCACTGCCGGGTGATCTGCCCGCCGTCCCATATGTTGTATCCAAGGAGATGAGAGCCAACACTAAGTCCTTGATCCGGGTGAACTGGTGGCACAAGTTGCTTCAACTTATTACACTATGTCATCTGCTATCATTAATATTCATGGCTCCTGATTTGTTGTAATAAAAGTATATAATTTAGTGATTTTGTGGTCCTTACATGCTATCCATGGTGTAATGATTACATATTGTGCTTTAAAATGTACTACAGGTTATATTTTGCCGTGATATATCTATAAGGATTGCATTTTTACAAGCTAATACTGTGATTCTGCTTGCAAGAAATTTGCAAATAAGTGATTATTTGGCTTATACCAATTATTTGTGCACATCGGTATTAAACAGACTGCTTTTTTGTGCATCAGTCGATACATTCATTGCACGTTCAATCTTACTAGTGCTCAACAGTACCTGAATTTCTTCATAATATACTTTTCTGTGGTGCTTTCAGCATCTTTTTGTATGGTTTCATGACAACTCTCGTCTTTCAGATGCTGATAACCCATGGCGACTGCCATTGCAGATGGCATGAATTATCTCTGGAGACCGAATCACCGCATTTAGTTTAAGTGGAATACAAGAATAACATGACCACATTCTGTCCCAAAAATTGAGCTGAATACAAGAATAATAGTACAATATTTTTTCATGATGAGTGAACAATTCTATGAGTAGCCAAACAGTGTCAACTGCAGATAGATTGCAAAATGTTACACGGACCAGAAGACAAATATCTGAGGTCACACAATGTCAAGGAGATCAGAGTTGAAAGTTTTTCCGAGCCGAAATCTAAGCCTCAAGACAGGCCATTCGCCCAGCAGCTTCGTGAGAATGGGCAACAAAGCTACTGTAATGCAAATTGCAATGGCCAACCAGTGGAGATGTGGGGGCAACACCGTATATAAACCAGTTGAAAAGGCTGTGGTAGTTGCCACATATGCAAACCACATGAGCTTCTTAGTAAAGGATCTATAGTAAACCAAGAACTCATAATCCTCCCACCTTGCCATGATGCATATGAAGGCGACAGCAAATGAAGAGCACATCGCTAAGGTGTCAGAGATCAAGAATGCCTGAAATGCAACCTTGCGAGACATGACGGGAAGTCCCTCGCTTCCAGCGCCATTGCTGTATCCTCCAGGTAGGGTGAAAGCGGCAGCAAAGGCGATTGTTGTAATGAGGATTGCTACTAACGAAGTGTTGGTTGTGTATATTTGAGTTAGTGATTTTGCATCCTTCCTTGATGCATTAGTCGCCTCTTGCTTGGCTTTCCGATGAAGATTATAAATAGATCCAGTATGTTGAGGATTTGCTTTTAGCATAAGCATGCACACTTCATTCTGCATTAAGTAATAAAAGGGAAGGTACAAATGACCTCATTCTGGGTACAAATGACCTTATAGCATATAAGCATGCACACTTCATTCTGCATGAATTAAAAGATAACATACGTACCCAGTTTAATGTCTTGGCATTCTGTATGACTTTCCACAGTTCCCAAGTTGCTGGATCACCATTGTTGTCGATCATTGTTACATCTATATCCTCATGAGACAGTAAGGCAGCGACTATTTTAGGATTGCAACTTTGGACTGCATAATGTAGAGGGGTTTTTCCTTGGTTGTCTTGCATGTTAATGACTTTGCGAAGTTGCGGTGTCCTCAGGATAAAGTCAGCAAACTCTGCATGATTGTTGGTTATAGTTGTATGTAGGAGTGTCAAACCATCTTGGTTATCTACTTGACAATAAGGAGCATCGGGACAATGTTTAAGAATCTCTCTAGCAACATCAATATGACCTCGATATGCGGCAGCATGAAGCAGGGAAAAACCTTTTGTGCTCACTTCATACCCTAAAGAACAATCATGTTCTAGCAATACTCGTAGCATGTCAACCTTGTTATAAAGTACAACCAATCTTGCTGGTGTATTGCCGTACTTGTTAGCTGCTCTGGCCATTTCAGGTCGCATCCTCATGATTTTTGTAGCGATGTCTGAAAAATAGTCAAGATGCATGAATTAGTTAATGATGGTTGATGGACCAAGCGATGATGATTGCCTTTGGCGCATAATAGATACTGTAGATGCAAAAGCTGAGGAATCATAACATCAACTATGCTGTAGATGATCCTAAATTTTCAATCCCATGGCTACTTTGATACAAATACTACACTATATTACTGTAACTTATGCTGTGCACCTAGGTCTCACCTCCATTCCCATTTGTAGCTGCGGCATGCAAAGCATTGTTGTCACACCGTCCCGCATGACTAGAATCTGGAATATTCAAGAGTTCCTCGAAAACATCTGCAAAATTTCTCTTTGCCGCGATGTACATGGGTGAGTCATTGAACTTGGTCACGTGCTTCGACAGATCAGGCTCTGCTGCTATCAACTCCAGCGCAAGCTCCCTGTGACCGCTGCGAATGGCATAGTGCAGTGCATTGCATCCATGCGTGTCTTGTTGCAGGATTGCCTCACTCAACCGCCGTGAACGGCAGCATCGGAGCAAGACAGAAGCCAATGAGACCCAGCCACGTGTAATGGCAGTGAGAAGAGGCGTCTCCCCATCCAAATTTACAGTGGCAAGGAGTGATTCCTCCAGTGCCACCGCATCCGTGCAAAATACCTGGTGGCCATGGATGGAGGATATGTGGAGGCAGGTGTTCCCTTGCGGAGTTTTCCCATGAAGAATGCTTTGATCTTGCGAAGCCATCTCCTCCATTGATGTGGAATCACCAGATGCGGCTGCTTTCAGGAGTCGTCGGTCCATCTGTGGCTCTTTGTGTCCGCCTTACGATGAACTAGCTGCTGATGTATTTGTTGGAAATATGCCCTAGAGGCAATAATAAAAGTATTATTATTATATTTCCTTGTTCATGATAATTGTCTTTTATTCATGCTATAACTGTATTATCCGGAAATCGTAATACACGTGTGAATACATAGACCACAATATGTCCCTAGTGAGCCTCTAGTTGACTAGCTCGTTGTGATCAACAGATAGTCATGGTTTCCTGGCTATGGACATTGGATGTCGTTGATAACGGGATCACATCATTAGGAGAATGATGTGATGGACAAGACCCAATCCTAAGCATAGCACAAAGATACGGAATAAAAGCTACGGAATAAAACGGAGACTAGCTAAAGGTGAGTTGACGATATATGTTGGAAGTGTTTCCAAGTTTGATGTGATCAAACATCGCACGCTCCCTCTACCATCAAGATTAGTATTAAACCTAAATGGTTTATTGAATCTCGATCGTAGTGATACACATTTTCATGCCAAAAGATATAAGATAGTAATGATAGTACCACTTACTTGTGGCACTGCCATGTAAGTCATAATGGTATAAAACGCATGAAGAAGCTCCATGTTGATGGATCTTTGGACTCACTCGTTTTTGAAAAGTTTGAGACATGCGAACCATGTCTATTGGTGTATATGCATGAAGAAACTCCATGCAAATGGATCGTTCGGACTCACTTGATTTTGAATCACTTGATATATGCAAATCATACCACATGGGCAAGATGACTGAAAAAGCCTCATTTTCAGTAAGATGGAACAAGATAGCAACTTGTTGGAAGTAACACATTTTGATGTGTGCAGTCGAATGAGTGCTGAGGCATGCAGTGAATATCATTATGTTCTTACTTCACAGATGATTCGAGTAAATGTTGAGTATATTTACTTGATGAAACACAAGTCTGAATTATTGAATGGTTCAAGTAATTTCAGAGTGAAGTAGCAGATCATTGTGACAAGAGGATAAAATGTCTATGATATGATCATAGAGATGAATATCTGAGTTACGAGTTTTGGCACACAATTAAGACATTGTGGAAATTGTTTCGCAATTAATACCGCCTGGAACACCATAATGTGATGGTGTGTCCGAACATCATAGTTGCACCCTATTGGATATGGTGCGTTCCATGATGCCTCTTATCGAATTACCACTATCGTCCATGGGTTAGGCATTAGAGACAACCACATTCACTTTAAATAGGGCACCACGTAATTCCGATGAGATGACACCATGTGAATTATGGTTTAGAGAAACCTAAGTTGTCGTTTCTTAAAGGTTTGGGGCTGCGACGCTTATGTGAAAAAGTTTCAGGATTAAGCTCGAACCCAAAGCGGATAAAATGCATCTTCATAGGACACCCAAAACAGTTGGGTATACCTCCTAATTCAGATCCGAAAGCAATATGGATTGTTTCTTGAATCGGGTCCTTTCTCGAGGAAAGGTTTCTCTCGAAAGAGTTGAGTGGGAGGATGGTGGAGACTTGATGAGGTTATTGAACCGTCTCTTCAACTAGTGTGTGGCAGGGCACAGGAAGTTGTTCCTGTGGCACCTACACCAATTGAAGTGGAAGCTTATGATATTGATCATGAAACTTCGGATCAAGTCACTACCAAACCTCGTAGGACGACAAGGACACGTACTACTTCGGGGTGGTAAGGTGATCCTGTCTTGAAGGTCATGTTGCTAGACAACAATGAACCTACGAGCTATGGAGAAGCGATGGTGGGCCCGGATTCCGATAAATGGCTTGAGGCCATAAAATCCGAGAACGGATCCATGGACTTTGGTGGACTTGCCCGATGATCGGCAAGCCATTAAGATAAATGGATCTTTAAGAAGAAGACGGACGTGGATGGTAATGTCACCGTCCATGAAGCTCGACTTGTGGCGAAAAGTTTTTCACAAGTTCAAGGAGTTGACTACGATGAGATTTTCTCACTCGTAGCGATACTTAAAGTCCGTCGGAATCATGTTAGCATTAGCTGCATTTATGAAATCTGGCAGATGGATGTCAAGACAAGTTTCCTTACTAGTTTTCGTAAGGAAAGGTTGTATGCAATACAATCAGAAAAGTTTTGTCGATCCTAAGGATGCTAAAAGGTATGCTAGCTCCAGCGATCCTTCTAAGGACTGGAGTAAAGCATCTCGGAGTTGGAATGTACGCTTTGATGAGATGATCAAAGATTTTGGTGTATACAAAGTTTATGAGAAACTTGTATTTCCAAAGAAGTGAGTGGGAGCACTATAGAATTTCTGATGAGTATATGTTGATCAGAAATGATGTAGAATTTCTAGAAAGCATATAGGGTTATTTGAAAGGTGTTTTTCAATAGAAAACCTGGATTAAGCTACTTGAACATTGAGCATCGAGATCTATAAGGATAGATCAAAATGCTTAATAATACTTTTAAAATGAGCATATACCTTGACATGATCTTGAAGGTGTTCAAGATGGATCAGTCAGAGAAGAAGTTCTTGCCTGAGTTGTAAGGTACGAAGTTAAGACTTAAAGCTCGACCATGGCAGAATAGAGAGAAAGGACGAAGGTCGTCTCCTATGCTTAAGACATAGGCTCTACAGTATGCTATGCTATGTACCGCACCTGAAGTGTGCCTTGCCATGAGTTAGTCAAGGGGTACAAGAGTAATCCAAGAATGGATCACAGGACAGCGGTCAAAGTTATCCTTAGTAACTAGTGAACTAAGGAATTTTCTCGATTATGGAGGTGGTAAAAGAGTTCGTCGTAAAGGTTACGACGATGCAAGCTTGACACCTATCCGGATAGCTCTGAGTAGAGAGACCGGATACATATAATGGAGCAATAATTTAGAATAGCTCCAAGTAGAACAGTTGTTTGGAATAGCTCCAAATAGAGCGTGGTAGCTGCATCTAGGAGATGACATAGAGATTTGTAAAGCACACACAGATCTGAAAGGTTCAGACCCGTTGACTAAAACCTCTCTCACAAGCAACATGATCAAACATAAAACTCATTGAGTGTTAATCACATAGTGATGTGAACTAGACTACTGACTCTAGTAAACTCTTGGGTATTAGTCACATGGCGATGTGACCTGTAAGTGTTAATCACATGGCGATGTGAACTAGATTATTGACTCTAGTGCAAGTGGGAGACTGTTGGAAATATGCCCTAGAGGCAATAATAAAAGTATTATTATTATATTTCCTTGTTCATGATAATTGTCTTTTATTCATGCTATAACTGTATTATCCGGAAATCGTAATACACGTGTGAATACATAGACCACAATATGTCCCTATTGAGCCTCTAGTTGACTAGCTCGTTGTGATCAACAGATAGTCATGGTTTCCTGGCTATGGACATTGGATGTCGTTGATAACGGGATCACATCATTAGGAGAATGATGTGATGGACAAGACCCAATCCTAAGACTAGCACAAAAGATCGTGTAGTTCATTTGCTAGAGCTTTGCCAATGTCAAGTATCTCTTCCTTTGACCATGAGATCGTGTAACTCCTGGATACCGTAGGAGTGCTTTGAGTGTATCAAACGTCACAACGTAACTGGGTGACTATAAAGGTGCACTACAGGTATCTCCGAAAGTATCTATTGTTTTATGCGGATCGAGACTGGGATTTGTCACTCCGTGTAAACGGAGAGGTATCTCTGGGCCCACTCGGTAGGACATCATCATATGCGCAATGTGACCAAGGAGTTGATCACGGGATGATGTGTTACGGAACGAGTAAAGTGACTTGCCGGTAACGAGATTGAACAAGGTATCGGTATACCGACGATCGAATCTCGGGCAAGTAAAATACCGCTAGACAAAGGGAATTGTATACGGGATCGATTGAGTCCTTGACATCGTGGTTCATCCGATGAGATCATCGTGGAACATGTGAGAGCCAACATGGGTATCCAGATCCCGCTGTTGGTTATTGACCGGAGAACGTCTCGGTCATGTCTGCATGTCTCCCGAACCCGTAGGGTCTACACACTTAAGGTTCGATGATGCTAGGGTTATAAAGGAAGCTTGTATGTGGTAACCGAATGTTGTTCGGAGTCCCGGATGAGATCCCGGACGTCACGAGGAGTTCCGGAATGGTCCGGAGGTAAAGATTTATATATAGGAAGTCCTGTTTCGGCCATCGGGACAAGTTTCGGGGTCATCGGTATTGTACCGGGACCATCGGAAGGGTCCCGGGGGCCCACCGGGTGGGGCCACCTGCCCCGGGGGGGCACATGGGCTGTAGGGGGTGCGCCTTGGCCTACATGGGCCAAGGGCACCAGCCCCAAGAGGCCCATGCGCCTAGGGAACCCTAGAGGGAAGAGTCCTCAAGGGGGAAGGCACCTCCGAGGTGCCTTGGGGAGGATGGACTCCTCCCCCCCTCTTGGCCGCACCCCTTTCTTGGAGTAGGGGGCAAGGCTGCGCCTTCCCCCTCTCCCCTGCCCCTATATATAGTAGAGGGGAGGGAGGGCATCCACACCTGAGCCCTTGGCGCCTCCCTCCCTCCCGTGACACCTCCTCCTCTCTCGTAGGTGCTTGGCGAAGCCCTGCAGGATTGCCACGCTCCTCCATCACCACCACGCCGTTGTGCTGCTGCTGGATGGAGTCTTCCTCAACCTCTCCCTCTCTCCTTGCTGGATCAAGGCGTGGGAGACGTCACCGGGCTGTACGTGTGTTGAACGCGGAGGTGCCGTCCGTTCAGCACTTGATCATCGGTGATCTGAATCACGACGAGTACGACTCCATCAACCCCGTTCACTTGAACGCTTCCGCTTAGCGATCTACAAGGGTATGTAGACTCTCCTCCTTTCTACTCGTTGCTGGTCTCTCCATAGATAGATCTTGGTGATTCGTAGGAAAATTTTGAATTTCTGCTACGTCCCCCAACAGTATTGTCTGCCATTGATATCTTGATTTTAACTGCTGAGGAGAAAAAACTGAGCAACTAGAAAATCTGCTAAATT